CCGTTTCAAAAGTACCAGTTTGGTACTGGTATCGGATAAAACCTAAACGATACCCATCCCTAATCACAGCAGCATGGCTCCATAGTGGAAGAGTCCAGGTGCTGAAGTGAACTTCCTGCAGTCCAGACCTTCGACAAATTGAAACCCTTGGTGGATCATGACATGAAAAATACAAGAAAGAAGACCTAGCACTGTCGAACAGCTGGAATCCTGTATAAGGCAACATTCCTCTCCTAGAAGTTCAGCAGCTGGTGTCCTCAGTTCCCAGACTGTTGCTACAAGAAGAGAGAATGTGCTTTCCCAACATTTTTGAGACATGTTGCTGACATCAAGTTCAAAGTGGGCTAATACTATTCTTAAAATGGTACATTTAAACATACAATCTGTTTGCAGAGTTATATTGCAAATAAAATATGAGTTTTCTAATCATTCCATTTTGATTTTATTTACATTTTACACAGCGTCCCAGTTGTTTGTTTTTTTCAGATTGAGGTTGTGATACTTGTTGTGCTTGTATGGGCTAAAACTTCACCAAACCTCTGATAATCCACTAAAAAAGCTCTAATCTAATTACTCGACTTTTTTTTTTTAGTTCATCCGGTGAGGTTTTGAATCCATTTCATCTGCTCAAAGGGTCACACTGTTTCCACAAGACACAGAAGAACATGTAATCCTTCAAAGTTTAAGCATGAAACGCACAACTACAGCTGATTTGTGGGATGTGGGAAACACTTGATCGCATTGATCGCAGTAATATGATGGAGACTTATTCAGATCCAGATATCAAAGCTGCTGATGTATTTGCACCATCATTGCTGGCTTATGACGTCACTCTCCATTAATCGGAATGTAATGTTCCTGAATTTGCACTGTACATATGACCATCACCGCAGAGGACAAGCTGAATAAAGAGGACGTAAGTCCCAGCTGACTTTCATAACCCTTGTGACTCTTGTTGAGGTTTGATGCACTTTTAGCACAGCGATATCAACTGCAAGAAACTTTGGCCTATATTTAAAGTTACAATCACATGTGGTCTCAGTTTGGATGAGAATCAGCTTCAGTTAGCAGCACTTAGCCTAAATTAATGACTCACAGGTCTGGCATGACATCAACACCTTGGCATTTTGGTAGCCACTGAAATCATGTCCTCTTTATTTTATTTTAGCTGTTTTATGTGACTTTTGGAAGCTAAAGTAATGATACATTTAATCAACTAATTTGCTAGGTTGTTTTTTTTTAGATTGGGTATGCTTAAATATTGCTACTTCTTCTTTAAAACAAGTTCCTCTGTTTAGGTGACTATAAAGAGCAAAATAGGAAATTAACTTCAAATCAGGCCAAAAAAAACCAACACATTAATAAAACCGTCCCACCCCAAGGTTGAGAATTTGGCAGAGCCCAGCCCAGCATGTGTGTATGTGTGTGTGTACAAATTTTGGGAAATGTCAGCATATGTTATCCCACACTTGTTCTTATTAAAAGGAAACTTGAAACCCCCTCGGTGCTTTGATGACAGCAGTCCACGTGACCTTTTTCCTGCTTTTGGTGCTTTCTGCAGAAAGCCTAAATCCTATTAAATCGGGCACTGAATATCCTCCGGTTACTAAAGTCTCTAACATGATGCCAGATCTGCCGGTCCGATCTGAATATTCTGGCCTTTGTTTATGATTTCGGCTTTAAATAAACCCCTCTCATTTAGAAGAGATCTTGGGAAAGACATGTCTAATCTGATATAAAACTCATCCTGTTTTGGGCGGTTTTCAACAAATCAGTCTTGCTCCCTGAGAAAATGTCTGTAGTTGGATTAAAACCTCTTTGCTAACCTAAATATAATAATAAAAGTGCACTAGTTCATAAATATTTATTCAAGAAAGTGCATCACTTGCATTTTGAACCCTTGTAAGAGGCAGAGCTTTCGCTAGAAGAAAAAGCATCATGATTTTTAAAGAATGAAACTGACAGGATGACACAGAATTGTTAAAGCATTGAAGTAAAATCAAATTAATGTTTAATACTGAGGGAATGTTTTCATTTTGAGGAATGATCCCCGCCCTTCGCAGGTCAGCACCTGTTTCTTTTTAAAATGAAATGAAAACTAGAATACCCAGAACTGCTGACTCGCATTCCCGTAGTCTTTCAGACTATTTTCCTCTTTATAAATTTAATTTCAGAAGCATGTGTGAAAGTCGATGTGTCATCTCCTGATAAACTCGCCCACGAGGGAGTCTGCAGTCAGAGGGGCTTTAACGTGGGACACCGGATGTTCAGGTTACTCATCAGGAGCGGTACTCAGCTTTAACAACATTTGAGTAATGAGTGTGACTGAAGGGAGGTCCTCAGTCTGACAAAATAAATATGATGATGATGTCATTGTGATGTCATCACATTTCATACTGAATGCTTAATGAATGAGTTGAGGGGCCACAGTGTACGTTACATAGTACTGTCACCCCTCGCTGGGTTATATTTGGCTTCCAGGAAGCCAGACTTCCTCTTCTCTTTTTAAAGCGGTCTTTAGGAACAGCTCTCTGTGCTTTCTGAAGGACATTGGCCACTTTTTCATACATTTTCTGTCTACTCCATCTATCTGACCTTTTTCAGAGGAATTTGTGGAAATCATCAATCATTCAAACAAAAAGAAGAAGGAGAAGAAGAAGAAGAAGAAGAAGAAGAAGAAGAAGAAGAAGAAGAAGAAGAAGAAGAAGAAGAAGAAGAAAGTGCTCCTAGCTCAAGAGATGAATCTGTGCTGTCTACTTATAATAGACAACTTAGCAAATAATTACACAAGAACTGGACTGAAAATTAATGCTAACAGGTCACCGACTCCAAATTTGAAATTTTATGATTTGAATGGTTTTTAATATGTATGGCAAAGGTAAGGTGAGACATACAGCAGGTATCTGTAAAATACAGTCAAGAGCAGTGGGCGAAGAGGACTCAATGGCAGAGCTCGGAGAGGTCAACTTAAGTGCATTTATTTACAGTGAAACACCCAGGTGATGTTACAAGTTGTGATGGGGAAACAGGGGCTCCTGGGATGCAAGGATCAGGGGCATCCAAATAATCCAAACTCTCCTCACTCAGCTCAGGCACTCTCTCCAAGCAATCCAGGGAGGGGGAATTCCAGGGAATGTCTGTATACAAAGGAAAGAACAGGGGGCAGGCAAAGAGCACACGCCACACTAAAAAGCTGAGGCTTTACTAACAGCATAGTTGAACAGTCTAGCAAAGAACAAAGCTCAGCCACTCGCCTCCTGATGAGCTCATCTGGAGCAGGTGATTGACTGTTGCAGGTGTGTTCAGCCAGAGGTGGGAACCCGTGATGAGTCCCACCCATGAACACAGACACACAAGCACAGAGAGAGGAGAGGGAGACAGAGAGTAAACAAAGCCTGCAGCAGGCAGCTCAGGAGGACTGAGGGACGATGACACGGTGAGACTGTTTGGTTTAGGGCTACATTTCAGCCGGAGCTGTTGGGGATCTTGTCAAAATCCATCTTGAGCAAAAGGCAGCCAACATGGAAAGAAGAGCTTTGAATGTCCTCCAAGGAGTCTGGAGAAATATTTACTTCACCTGCTACCCTCCTGCTGATCGTCCCATAATCACCCCAGTGTGTATAAATAGTCCTGTCTGCCTCCTTGTCCTAGTCATACTGTTTCTATATTGTTGAAATCTAGTACACATTGTCATGCCTCCCTCAGTAAGGTTGTAATGATCATTGCAAATCTACCCGCATCCTCCCAAATAGCAAACACTAGCTTAATGTTGTGCATATGGTAAACATAGAAAAACTCAACAAATATCAGCATGTTAGTATTGCTCTTGTGAACGTGTGTGAGTAGTCTGTTCCCCCAAACTAATAAAAATGCTCAGAGTGCCCCTTTAAAATTAAAAAATGCACGTGAAGCTCTCAATTTACCGGTCGATCTACGTCCCTACTCTCACCTATGGCCACGAGCTGTGGCCGAAAGAACGAGATCGCGGATACAAGTGGCAGAAATGAGCTTCCTCCGAAGGGTGGCTGGCCTCTCCCTTAGAGATAGGGTGAGACGTTCGGCCATCCGGGAGGGGCTCAGAGTAGAGCCGCTGCTGCTCCACATCGAAAGGAGCCAGCTGAGGTGGTTCGGGCATCTGACAAGGATGCCTCCTGGGCGCCTCCTGGGTGAGGTGTTCAGGGTATGTCCCACCGGGAGGAGGCCCCGGGGCAGACCCAGGACACGCTGGAGAGATTATATCTCTCGGCTGGCCTGGGAACGCCTTGGTGTTCCCCTGGATAAGCTGGAGGAGGTGGCTGGGGAGAGGGAGGTCTGGGCCTCTTTGCTTAGACTGCTGCCCCCGCGACCCGGCCTCGGATAAAGCGGATGAAGATGGATGGAGCTGAGATACCAGGTATCACATTGAGGCTACATTTAAACCACAAAGCTTTAATCTGCCAAGCCCAACATTGTAATTAAAGCATTTTAATGAGGGGTCCAGACACTTGGCATAACTGAAAGTGTCCATCTTTTTGTTGACCGACTTTCATGAAGTTCATGTTGGTAGTTTTTGCATTGCGATGAGTACAAACAGAATAACAATTTTAAACGAAGGGAATCCTTTTGTGGTATTATGAGGGATTACATAACATCGCAATTAATATTTCATCTACTTATTTCTGAAAACATATCTGTCTGATATGTTTGTAAACTTTTATCCTTATCTTTCCTTTGTTTTCAGCATTTGCTCTTTTCTGGCTTCTCTCAACCACCCTTCCTGCAGAGTTTTTCAGAGAACCTCAGCTGTTATTTTAAGAAAATACCACCCAAATCTGTCCTTGAGGGAAAGGCATGACCTCACATTCATCCCCTGAGAGGGAAATTACCATGAACTGTCTGTCCTTCCTATTAGACCTTCTTCAGTCTACAAGGATTCCCATGTAATTGGGCCTCCCAGCGGATGTTAATATATCACCAGTGAATCTGCAGCCTGACCTTTGACTCTGAGATATTGCAGACAAGCCAAGCAGCAGGGAGAGAGCAGAAACACACTCTGAGCAGGTGAGGTGGATCAAAGGTTTTAGTCTTCTGCTTTTAGATTCAAAAAATCTACAATACTACCAGAAGTACTAGAGGGATTGTTTTACAAAATACCTTTGGTTTTCAAATTCTGTTTTGCAGCCAGCAATTGTGACGGGCTCACTGTTTTCACGGGATCCTCTGTCCTGCTTGCGTTGATTTTCTAAGCAGACGTCATCGTGATGGAGACACAGCAAACGGCTGGAAGTTTTCCTGCGCTGAGCCAAACCACTGTCACAGCAAGTATAACAGGTACAAGTGTTTGGTCTCAGCTGACCGTAAGGTTCAAAGTTAATAATGTCAGTAAAGAGTGCTCCCTCCAGAATGACGCAAAGCTGCATGAAAGGCTAACAATGCAAAGCGTGGATGTGCTTAGACTGTAAGCAAAGGCATATTTTACTGCTGTTCAGTTGCAGTGTGTGCTAAACGCCTCTGACTGAGTCTGGCTCTGGATCTATTTTCATCCAGGCTCTTCAAAGTGTTTCCTCTAATCGCTGCACATTTGAAGCAGATACATAAAGCCTCAGAGACTAATTCAGTTCTCAGAAGTTATCTTCAGCTTTCACATCAGCTGCCCAGGTGAACTCCCTTCTGCTTTCTTATTTTTCCACTGGCATTGCATGTTGTGGCACACAGAGCTCATTTCCAGCTGGGCTATTTTGGGCTCAGCTGCCAAGATTCTGATCTTTATGGGATTTTAAAACTAAGCACCAGGAATAAACCTTTAAGTAAAATGAAAATCTTATGAGCTTTTAAAAACAGACTAGCAGTTCTGCCAAAGAGCCACTATTTACTTTAAGTTAGTGGGTCTAAATTGCACTTTCCATGCATAATATAAACAGCGCTGACAATATCACTGTGCTAGGACTTTGGCTGTTAGTCCTAGCACAGTGAGTTTGTTGAGATTTGATGGGAACTGAAAGCTTTTGCAGGTAACGCTTTGTTTTGTTCTTCTGTTATGTCCTGTTCCAGCTGTGGGAGAAACATATGAGCTTACACGGTGGCTGTAAATCATGTGGCACATTTCCAGCTGCAAGAAGCTTTCATGTGAAGCGGATAAATGTCTGTTTATGAGGTGTAAATTTCAACAGTTTAGGCGTTTCCATTTGCAAAGCAGCTGTGTGGTCAGCAAAATGACGGACCGTCAGAGGAACTTTAATCTCCGACAGTAGATATTACATAATCCTTTTTAGAGACGTCTTTGACACATTAACTGCCATCAAGAGCAATCATGATTTTATGAGAATATGATCACTTTAGACTGTAGCTCTCAAATAAAACCCACAGCCACTTTATAAGGTACACCTCTTTAACTGTTCATTAACACATATCTATTCAGCCAATCACACGGCAGCAGCTCGGTGCATTTTGGCAAGTAGACATGATCAAAATGAACTGCTGAGACTCAAACCGAGCATTAGAATCAAGCAGAAAGGTGACCTATGCAACTTTGAATGTTGGCGCTTATCTACTGGGATTTTTCCCATATGGCTTTCTCTGGAAAGGAGAAAATATCCATAGAGCGGCAGTTCTGAGCAAAAGGGTCTTGCTGATGACAGAGGTCAGAGGAGACTGGTCAGATGCAAAGGGAGCCAAAAGCAGACTCCAAAGGCAGGCGGGAATAAAACACAAAGCACTTGAATGATGGCTAGTTTGCAATCCAAAATTAAAATCTGTGAAAGAAAAACAAATGTAATCCAATTTACTGCGAATAAATGGGAGAAGACAACAGAGACGCAAAGACAAAAAGCAAAAGGAAGGCAAGCGCAATAAATACACAAAGGGTTCATTTGAGGAAATAGAAACGGGGGAAATGAGACAGCTGAAACCGACATGAATAATGACACAAAGGACGTGAAACTAAATGCAAGGACACAGGAGACAAATGCATACACACAACAACTTTACACTAAAGGAAACACAAGAAACTCTTTTTTTTAAACTAAGAGCATGAAAATAACTAACAAATCTTCTAAATAATCACAACATTGGGGAAAAAAAACTCAAATAAAGAAAGCTTGTTACATAGTTGCGTACAGTAGCTTGTTACAACCAAGCTACTGTACGCAGAAGAGCTCTGAACTTACAGTAGCAGACCACACCTTGGAGCCAAGAGCAGGAAACTGAACCACAGTTCACACAGGTTCACCAAAAACAGACAACACAAGACTGGAAAAGCATTGCCTGGTTTGATGAGTGTCAGTTTCTGTTGTTCACATGATAGGGTCAACATTTTGCATAAACAACATGAAAACATGGGGCAAACCTGCCTTATATCAACAGTTCAGGCTGCTGAACAGCTCGTTGATGTGATGGTGTGGGGGGATATTTTCTTGGCACACTTTGGGCCCCTTATTACCAACTGAGCATCGTTAAACAGCCACAGCTTACCTGAGTATTGCTGCTGACCATGTCCATCCCTTTATAACTACAGAGTACAATGATGGATTTATGATCTTAAACTGGTTTCTTGAACACGAAAATGAGTTGTTGGTACTCAAATGGGCTCCACAGTCAGCACAACATTGCTACAACTGACCTAAAGCAGCTCTGCACCTTTTGTAGTTAATATTTTCTAGACAAAGTGCTTTACAGTTTCAAATAAAACACAAGGCACAGAAAATCACAAGTTTTAAAGCCATGTGAGTTGCATCTGATCTGGAACAAAAGCAATTTCTGAATAAAGTTGCAATTAAGGTTTTCGAGAAATGCAATCTCAGTGATTCTGACTTTAATCAGAAGAAAACTATGTCTTAAATTAAAGTATCTGCCAAGTTGCGAAATATTCCAAGACTTTCACTCATTCGAAGCATGATTCAAAGCTCTTGGGAAAAGATTCCGGTCTACGTTATCAAACACTGCTTAAGTCAGAAGCGGCTAAGAGCAGAAGAGCAAGTGTGATTAAAAAGATGTCGGACCCTGAAGTGAATATTGGATTTCTTTTATTGTGATTTATATTTTTTTATTAAGGTTTCAAAAACAGGCATTCACAGTATGTACATCACGTAAGCATACTTCTTGCTTAGGTTATCTGCCTGAGATACCAAAATAGTATTTTAATTTACATCCAAGTCATAAAGAAAGAATATTTACAACTATAGAAGCAATTGAAACAATCAGATAATCCAAAATAAGAAAACAAACAAAACCAACAAACAAAACAAAACAACAAAAGAACAAAAAAAAAAACAAAAAAAAAACACAGATGTATTGGTAGGGGGTGATCCTATAAATATATACTCTCATACGTCACCGTTATTGGTTTGTGAAAATAAAATCTGGCCTATGAGGTGTGATATATTTGACCCAGTTTTCCCAGTATGATGTAAATTTCTCCAGCTTGTGGTTAACAGAAGCTGTTATCTTTTCCATGTTATAGATTTCCATTGTGATTTCCATCCATGTACTTATGTTTGGGCTCTCCGGGGATAACCATTTTCTGGTGATATTCTTTTTACAGGCCACCAGTAGAATATTTACTAAATGTTTATCATATTTAGGCCATTCCTGAGGTATATATCCAAAGAACATAATCTTACTCTCGAGGGGTATTTCACATTTAAAGATATCCTGTAAGGCATTATGTATTTCTCTCCAATAATCCCTCAAGATAGAGCAGTCCCAGAAAATGTGGTAGTGATTTGCACTTTGATTTCCACAGTTCCTCCAACAAGCAGGGGAATTATCATCATAATGAGACTTCTGAGAAGGTGTTGTAAAGTATCTAATTAGGCACTTCCAGCCAAATTCCCTCCACTTTTGTGAGCTAGTACACATCCACTGATACCTCCATATTGCCGTCCATTCTTCCTCTAATATTTTTATCCCTCCTTCCTTCTCCCATTTTGTTCTAATATATGAAGTCGAATATGGTTTCAAATCCATTAGACCCTTATACAGACATGATACAATTCTATCAATAGTTTCTGAGTTATAGCTTTTTATAAACAATTCCATCAAGCGTGTGTTTGTCATTGTTACATTTCTCATCTTCATGTCAGCACAGCCTTAACTGCAAATATCGATAGAAGTCTTGTTTTTCTAATGAAAATGTCTTTCTAAGCGTGTCGAAGCTGAACAATTTTCCATCTTTCATTATACTACACAGGGCTGTTATGCCCTTACCTATCCAGTCCTTGAATCTAGAATCCAATTCATTAGGCTTGAACTCTGAGTCGTAAGCACACCATTTAAGAACTGTAATATTGGTTTCGAGTTTATATTCCTTTATAATAGTTTGCCATGTTTTAAGGGTTCTTTTCACCCACAGGTTATCAATGTTTTTATATTATAGGTTTGTAAATTTTTGTCAGCTAGAGTTGCCTGAATAGGAATAGACAGCATTTGTTCCTCAATGGTTTTCCATTGGGCAGTGTATGATGGGTTACACCAGCGTATTATTGCTCTCATCTGCGCTGCAAAGTAGTAGTATCTGAGGTCAGGGAGGCCCCATCCTCCCTTTTGCTTAGCCAGCTGTAGAGTTTTGAGGCGAACCCTTGGTCTTTACCTTGCCATATATATCTAGATAACATTTTGTCCCACTCATTAAATTGACTTTGGTTAATCTCTATTGGTAGGGTTTGAAATAGATACAAAAATCTTGGTAATACATTCATTTTAATAGAATCAATTCTTGAATTAAAGCTAAAGAAAGGAATTAAGTTCCATCTTACTATATCTTCCTTTATTTTTTTGTATAAGGGTAGGTAGTTCTGTTCAAATAATTTTGTAAGATCTTTCGGTAAATTTATGCCTAAATATTTAAAAGACTCCGTTTGCCATACCAGGGGATAACTACATTTTATTTCTTCTGGTGGGCTATAATTATATGAGAGTAGCTGGGTTTTACCTATATTAATTTTATAGCCTGATAATTGGCCGTATTGTTCAAATGATTGCATCAGTTTGGGTAAAGAATATGTTGGGTGTCCAAGGTAGACCAAAATGTCATCCGCGTAGCAAGCCAGTTTATATTGCATCCCTTTGAGAATATTGGATTTCATGGGCTGTAAAGTCCAAAGCATTCACAGATGTCTGTTATCTGAGCCAACAGAAGCAACATATTTATAAGTTCTGATCTTATCCAGTTCTCTTAACGATGCTATGACTGCTCAGCACTGGTATTTTCCTACGGTGTAAATCAAAGTACGACAGCCTGTGTTAGCTGGGAAATTGTTACCAAGCACCCCGATGAAGGCCACAAGTTGAAACGGGCTGGTCAAGCAGCAAAGTTTATACCACGAGTGTTGCAGGAGCTTCGACTTCTTTAGAGGACCAAAACTACCAAATTCTCACAAGAAAACTATAAATCAGAACTGATGAGTTCATGAGGTGTGACACAGATTGGTAGTTCAACTTTTATTTGCCAGTGTAGCTATAACTTCTAAATGTCATCCACTGTAGCCGTTTATAGCTGGAATGTGTGTCTTCAAATGAACACATGGAAATAAAAAATTAATATAGAAGACTTGCACACAAACTGGTGAAGTGAAAGCTCCTTATTGATTTGATATGTAAAGAAACCCAACGCACCTTTCCTAGAGGCCTGAGCATGTCAGTGCAGGGGTTGATCTGACCGTGTCAGCAGAAATAGTCCATTGACAACAACAGAGAGGTGAGGCATTTCTATACCAACGGCAGTGAAAGCTACCTGGACAATTCTGCTAACACGCTTCCTGTTTAGTTGTGATGCACTTTGTGATCTTTGTCTCAAAAGGTCATATAGAAATAAAATTGTACTTATTTATATTGCTTAATTTATGTCACCCATAGGGCATGAGTGGAGACTGAGTGGAGAGTCAGTCATTTGCTATGGGCTTCACGGTCACCAAATGTCAGCCCAGCTAGACACTGGGCAGGTTTCTGGGCTGATCTCTTGAGAAAAATATCCTGCAGTCCAGCATCAAATCAAGCCATCAGATAGCTGCGGCTCCCTAAGCCTGGTTCTGACAGAGGTTAAAAGGGAGTTCTTCCTTCCCACTGTCGCAGAGGGCTTGTTAGAAGGGTCATCAACTGCTTTGGGTTTTCTCTGTATTATTGTCGATTGTTTACTTTAACATATAAAACACATTGAGGCAACTGTTGTTGTGATTTGGAACTATAGAAATAAAACTGAAATGAGCTGAATTGTGTTGATTTCCCTTTAATTTGTTGCCAGTCTGTAGCTTTGTGTCGGTCTGTTTGTGTTCACCTTCGAACTAAACAGTGACTAAAATCCCGTAAAACTGTTACGTGACGCAAATGAAGCCGTTTAGGAGTCGACCTTTGCTACAGTCACACTTTTGCATTATTGCTAAATTACCTGTTTCATGTCGGGAAATGGATTGAAACACTGACTCGGCATCAGTTAGATGCTTGCTCTGCAGTTTGCTTACACACAAGGAACGCCCTGTGTACACATACTCATACTTTTAGATACATACACACAAATATTTACTCATATAAACCACAAATACTGCAATCTTTGTAAACACATGATTTGAAGGCGTGCGGACATCAAATACACAAATACACATAGGTTTTAGTGAAATTGTGACACACAAACATTATCCTAAATCCGTTAATTAACCAAAATATACACATGTAAGAATTTCCGTGCTCTCACACAAATTCATCCTCATAATAATTTGACCCTTTATGTCCTCTCTTTGTGGTTCCCAGGGGCTACCATGGTATCCATGGATACTATGTCTCGTTTCCATGGGGAAGGAGTTCGCTACAAAGCCAAGCTGATTGGCATGGACCCAGTACCCGACGCACTCGGAGAAAAGATGTGCAGAGACTCCATGATGAAACTAAAGGTAGTCCACCGCCAAAGTAAACTGACTTCTGTCTGCTCTTGATTAAACTGGTTGATTTCCTGTAAGATCAATCTTCATTTTTTCACTTTATCAGAGAAAAAAATCAAAGATAAACACCAGACGTTTAATATTTCATGACTGCTGAGATTAATGTTATCATTTGGAGCTACTTGTATTTCACAGACCAATATTTTTTTAAGCATCACAGCAAAAGTATTTAAAAGCTACGTCAAGATCTGGGAGGAAATATTTTTTCTGTCCTTCTGTCCATTTCGGTCAGCGCTCAGATGTCTCAATATCTAATGGAGGATTTGCATGAAAGTTATCACAGACATTTTTGGTTCCAAGATAAAAATGAAAAATAAGAAAGTCCTTGTTGTCTTGTGGTGACCCTTCCATCTAAAAAGAAAAGAATAAATCTTTAAAGTAAGTAAGCAACAGAAAAGAAAATCATGTGCTATACTGTACTTAAAGATCCCAATCTTAAGTATTCAGATTCAGTAGTGTTGACAGTTAGAACTTACTTTCTTTAATGGGTGGCTGTAGCTCAGGTGGCAGAGCAGGTCAGCCACTAATCAGAAGGTCGGTGGTTCGATCCCGGGCTGCATGTCAAATATCCTTGGGCAAGATACTAACCCCGTGTTTCCCTACTGGTGGTGGTCAGAGGGCCCGGTGGCGCCTGTGTCCGGCAGCCTTGCCTCTGTCAGTGTGCCCCAGGGCAGCTGTGGCTACAATGTAGCTTGCCATCGCCAGTGTGTGAATGGGTGAATGACTGAATGTAGTGTAAAGCGCTTTGGGGTCCTATGGACTAGAAAAGCGCTATACAAATGCAGGCCATTTACCATTCTGTCTTCTGTTTTAGTTTTTTAACCATAGACTGTATATAAAAGAAGGCCAAAGCCACTACACCGTTTGGTTTACTGACTCCGTTTTTGACTTGAGCTCTGCAGGTCATTATAAAGATCTGCCTTGCTTTTAAAGTGAAAACAAAACATCACATGTGTTAAGGTTAATTTACACCTCAGAGCCCTACTCTAAAAAACTGTCACAGCGAAAGAAAAGACACTAAACTGGCAGTTCAATTACAACTCAAACATTACATTACATATAACATTACAGCTAACAAAGGCAGCTGGCCAACAAAGAAGAGCCACTGAGTGCTTACATCACAGAAGCCTCTGTGATGTAAGTTAACCCCTTAGCAGTCCTACAAATTTACAATTAGTCCCCTAAACCATCCAATGTACCGTGGGCGGTACGTCCGACTGCTAACAGGTTAACACGTATTGTTTCATGCACATTTTTTATGCACAGTCTATGATATGAGTCATACGTAGGAAAAGCTCCTGATTGCTGTTTGTTTCAGTGGAAGAGCATGCATCAGTGAGTTCAGATCTTAAAGTTTTTCTTTGTGTTTGAGTTTATTTGCTAACTACAAGGTTTTAAATACTCACAGACTGCAGACTGAAAACTGTCAGAAACAGACTCGATGTGTAGTTTTTGGACCTTTGTAGACCTTTCTGATGGCATTTGAATTTGACAAAGCATTATTATTAAATATTTTTTAAAAAGAAACTCTTCCTTAACACAGTTTTAACTCTATGTTTGATCAATGAGCAGTGTCTTTGTTTTTTCAGAAAGAAAATGAGTTGTGGGAACATTCCTGCTGTGGAAAAATGGCTTGTAATGCCTCTGACATCCTGTTGACTCCTGACGTGTTCTTCTAATCTCAAAGGACTTTGCATGATGCAGTGAGAGTTTGTTTGGAGAAGCGCGCCACAGCTTTTGTAAAACGTCAAAAAGGGGGGGAAACAATAATAAACGATAAACAGACAGGTCCACGGGGAACGGACAGAGCGAGGTCACAATCACTCAAAATTGCGACCTGTCAAGACCGTCAGTGTCAGCATGCATCTAATGTAGTGTGAATAACTTTAAACTGCAATCAGCGATCACACACACACTGCTTTGAATATAAATGTTTATACCATACACAATACATTACAACACAGTTAGAAGAAACACACTAAGGCACTGGTGTGAGTCACCGATCGCAGTCACAGGAAGGACATCATAGTAACGAGTATAAAAATACAGACGGCAGGAGCCAAACCACAAATCACTCAGCAAATAGAATCAAAGAGTGAACTTTGTGCAGGTAACTGTGGAGTAGCTCAGGATGCGTTTTACACAGATCTGACTGCTGTGAAGGCCAATTCAGGGTCTCTGGGTGATTGTTTGAGAGCAACTGCAGAATAGCAGCTTTGCATATGAATAATGTAAGCTGTGTACAGTACTGTGCAAAGGTCTCGAGCCATGCCTGATGTTTGTCAAGACCAGTTTTAAAAAACCGCGAGAACATCTGGCTGCTTGGAAGTGTGACTCAAGACTTTTGCACGGTATACTTGTTGCATGTTTTGAGACCTATATATTTTATACAATTTAAATATAATAATTTATCAATAAAATGTGTATAATGCTGAGAAGAGGACACCTTTATGAAATATAATATAAAAAGCAACCTGCGAAAACCACCCAAACCACACACTCAGCAATAGCAAAGACAGCTTCCAGTAGGAAAAAGTGCTTAGAAAACCTGCCCAGATCGATTGGGACTGAAACAGATCCACTGCCAATGTTTTTGTGGCTGTAAATCATGGATTAAAACAATTTCACAAAGTAAACCATCAAAGAAAGCACTTACTTTTTTGTTAGCAGCAATAATCTGTACATCCTGGTTTGTAAGAGGTCCTTTCAGCAGACCGCTTCTGGCTGCAGATACAATGTTCCCTCCGGCTGTCCCGGCATGCTTACTGGTTGTGTTACATCAATCGTAGACACAATGACTGTGAAATATGTCAGAACTGCTCTGTCGATTAATTAGTTTAGCTTTACTCCTTAATGTGAGATTCATCTCGCTTTTTATGTGTGTTCTGACTTATCTCATTGGAATATATGTCTGTCATTTCATGTTTACTTCTTATTCAGCTCACCTGTGCTGTGCTGTTGTGTGAATGTGTGTGTGCTAAAGGGCTTTGAGGTAGCAGGAAGGAAACAGGGAATCCACAAGAGGAGAATTTGGTTGAAAATTTCCTCCAGTGGCTTGAAAATTCTGGATGAAAGGACCGGGGTGAGTCAAGCAAGGGATTTCCCAACGTGTGTTGTGTTGTCCTCAAATTGTAGCGCCCCCTTTAGGTTGATAGTTAGTCTTAAAATGACTGTGATTCTTCAGTGGACAGTTCATGCTTGGATTGCATAATAAAAGTATTTTATTACACTGCAGTTTTTTTTTCCCAAAACTGGAAAATCTTAAGAGGTGGAGATGATATTTACACAAGTGCTGAGGATCAGTATCATAAAGCTGTTCTTATTTTGGTGGTTAGAGTTTCTTTTATAATAAATAAAAGATAAATCCTCATTTCAGGCTGTTCTTCACGACCATGAGAGGAGCAGGATCAGCTCTTTGACCAAAGATGAGTCTGACCCCAGAGCTCTGGCTTACATCTACCAGCATCAAGACAACTACATCCTCTTCTACATCAAGATGGCTAACCTGGTAACGAAACACAGTACTAAAGCAGAAACAGGTGGTGTTATTAAATACTGCTAATATTAATGCTAATACTGCTAATACTGCCACATAACATATAAACATTTAATAGATTATTATATAAAAATGATTTAATAAGTCATTTATAAGCAAAAGTGTTTACCATAACTCCTCCAGTGGGCACATATAGCAAGTATAGTTGTTTAAGCACATAAAAAAATGCTGAGCCACCGCAATGCAATTTAATGCTGACATGATTTATCAGCATTATTTAACTTCATTTAACCATCAAACCATCCATTCTCTTCAGCTTATCAGGGTCACAGGGGGGCTGGACCCTATCGCAGCTGTGAGAGGTGGGGTACAGAATGGACCAGTAACCTTCTGATATATTTAAAAAAATTAGATGAAATTCAAATGAATTCAATTTTATTTATACAGCGCCAAATCACAACAACAGTCGCCTCAAGGTGCTTTATATTGTAAGGTAGACCCTACAATAATACATACAGAGAAAAACCCAGGAATCCTATGACTCCTATGAGCAAGCGCTTTGGCGACAGTGGGAAGGAAAAATTGCCTTTAAACAGGAAGAAACCTCCAGCAGAGCCAGGCTCAATGAAAATATACATTTTCATGCAGGAGGCATTTTTTTGCAATTTACTGCTCACGGTAGCAGTGCATGTTTGACAGATTCAGTCTGGATGGAGGAGAGAAACCTCAATTTCTGTGCAGTGTATTTATCTGTGTAGTATTAAAGTTCATTCTACATAAATACAGTTAGCTTGCTCGAGCAGCATTCTAAACAGCTGGTCCGAAACTGTTTTTATCATTTACGGAATATTTCAAAATTCAGACTAATGGTGTCAAAGCCTGAACTTGAGATGATTATTCATGCTTTTATTTCCTCCTGTTTAGACTACTGTAGTTGTGTCTTTTTACTTGTTTTAACAAATCAGCCTTAAATCGTCTTCAGACTGTGCAGAATGCTGCAGCCCGTCTCTTAACAGGCACCAAGAGAAGATCTCATATTACTCCAGTTTTAGCCTCCCTTCACTGGTTGCCTGTAAGTTTTAGGTTTCATTTTAAATTTTTAGTTCTAACCTTTAGGGCCCTACATGGTCAAGCTCCCCAATATTTATCTGACCTGCTGAAACCACATTCATCTTCTCGAGCTTTAAGCTCATTAGATGAGAGACTGCTGGTGGTACCGCGCACTCGTTTTAACCCTCTTGAGGCAGGCGTTGCCGATTTGCAACAGTTAAAAACTAACAACCTGATTACCCCACAAACATATTTTATGAGTTTTTTTTTACTCAGAAGTACCACTGCAGGACTTGGTTGTGCATTAGCAACAAAAAGTTTAATTTGAGCCTGAGAGGGTTAAAACTCGTGGTGATCGTGCCTTTCAGACTGTGGCACCACGGTTGTGGAATTCTCTTCCACTGTCTCTACGCTGCACGGACTCCATTGATTCTTTTAAAAAAAACAGCTGAAGACATTTTTATTTAGAAAAGCATTTGAATAATTTCCTCCTTTGTTTTTTTTTATTGTTTTATTGTATTTCATTGCTGTTTTATTTACTGTTACATTGTTTTATATTTCCATTTCTTGTGTTGTAAAGCACTTTGTGATTTTTATCTGTGAAAAGCGCTATATAAATACATTTTACTTACTTACTTACATTCTCCTCAAAACAGGCATGCAAAGCAAACTTTAAAAAGCCAGCTCATCGTGAACGAGAATGATTGTCACTATAGTTTGTTTTGCATGTGGCTGCATTGGCCTGTTAAGAGTTTGCACATCAGTAAGATGTTTTATCTGTGTCTCTCAGGCACATCCAGTGTTCCTCGACATCCAGGAAGTTTGTCAGCATGTGGACCGAGAGATCTCGCAGCAGCCTGCAGAGACACCAACACAAGTCAGAAAGAAGTTGTTGTTGTTTTTTGTCCCTGTGCTTTTGGTTGGTTTATTTGTTAGCTTTCACTCACCACTGTTGGGTTTTTTTTCTGTTTCAGGGCGCTTCTTTACTGGTTCTACACAAGAGCTCAGCAGCAGAGGTTCATTATTTTTAATCATCTTCACTTTTTCTAAATGAAGGTGATCCCAAATTTAAACAAAATATTTCTGTGTTTTTATACATGGACTTGCTTACTTTACAGGAACCAGCTCTTGAAGATCTGTTCAGCCCACGGCCAGATGTTTCATCACAGCAGACAAAGCAGGTATAAAACAACAATACAAGTTTTTATGTGAGATAACAGCCATATTTCACATGAAATAGCTGACAAAAGCAAGTGTCCAAAGTTGGGTTGAAATGGTAGGAGGCTAAGCAGCAGTGTCTCCCAGTTTCTGATTTTTCCCAGGGGATCCTGAAGTTGTCCCAGATTAGATATGCGATCTCTCCAGTTGATTGTGGTTTTACCCTGGGGTCTCCAAACCTCCAAAGGGAGGCTTGTCCGAACTCCTCGTCCCCTCTCTCAGGCTGAGCGCAGCCTGCCTGAGGAGGAAAGTCATTTTAGACACTTGGGTTCATGACCTTACTCTTTTGGTTATTCGTGACTATTTTTAGTTTAGTTTATATTATTTTCACAGTTAGTTTCTTTAATAAATTGTGATTTTATAGTGCTATATGTATACATCTTTCTTGTATACTTGTATATGATATTATTTGTATATTATACTTTTACAGGTGCTCAGTGTGTTTAAGTTTAACTTTTTAACTAAAGTCTAGCTTTGATCCTAATTAATAATTTTTTTCACCCCCAGTGTCACTTATTAGTTTAGTTGTAGCTCATTATAATAGCTTTGGTGCAGCATTATGGAATCTCGCAAAATAAGACGATTGTAATACAGCTACACTTCTGTCTCCTCACTTTTAGGTAACATGTAGGTGAGAATTTATATTTTATTCTCTCCTTGTTTCTGCCAGCAGCCCTCATCCACCAATGAGCTGATGGAAGTGTTTTCGACCCCACTGGGGGAGCCTCTGGCACAAACTCAGATCCCAGGTATCAGTAAACATAAGGACGCGTTCCTCTTAAAAACAGCAGATTTGTAATAACAGTACACCTCATAGTGTAGCGCTATTTGAAAAACAAAAACTATTTTTCTCCTCCGTCAGAGCCTCCACAGCAACAGCAAGTGCTCTCCAGCTCGCAGATTCTCTCTATGTTCCCCACACATCCTGTAGGTGGCTCTCCATACTCATCCCCCACATACCCTCCAGCCAGCATGCCTTGGGGCCAGCAGGCGCTTCCAGGAAACCAGTGGGCGGCCCCGTGGCCCACTGCACCTGGCAACATTTCACCATGGGCACCACCAGGTGTCACAGTATCCCCTACATTAAGCCAGGCTCCCAGCATGGCCAACCCTGTGCCCGGTTTCATGATGGGAGGAAACGCAGCCCCTACGCCCTCTGGTGTTAACAGCTACTCCACCCCTTTAAACTCCTTAAACTCCACCCCTATAGGAACAACAACAGCGCCACTGTCAGTGTCCTCACCCTTGGAGAACCCCTCCCTCCTTTGAAATGAGTGTAGAAATATGAATTTATTGAGTTCATGTTTTGTTTTTAGAATTTTTAGTAAAAGAAAACACCACCACACACCTACAATGAAGCTCTAAATTATAGCACCAATATTCTTATATCATTCATTTTCTTATATATTTAACTACTTCAAGGGCTGCCATGAGATGAGAGGTGGAGAGGTTTCAAGTCCTTCACAGGGGCTAACAGAGATAGACAGACAACAGTTCGTGCTCATATCCACACCTACGGCTGATTTTGAGTCACCTGTAAACCTAAACTGACTCTAGAAGCCAGAGAGCCCGTAGAGAACCACACAGGCACGACCATGAGCACGCAAACGCTACTCAGAAAGCCCCCAGACTGAGCCTGAATCCTCTTGCTGTGAGCCAACAGTGTTGACTCATTCACCAATATTGTAAACTGAAGTACAGTTATGGTACAAAGTTTACATCCACTCAGCATGGGCATGAATATTGTGGTAATTTGGAGGTTTTAATCATTTATTTGAACAAGAATTGCGTGCACAAGTTTGAATTTATTTTGGGGGTGGGTTTCAAAAATATACATACACAACCATTAATATTTGGTGAAACGTTCCTTAGCAGGTTGCACCTCAATCAGACCCTTTTGGTAGCCATCATCAAGCATTTAGCATAATTCTGACTGGACATTTAACCATTCTTCTTGGCAGAATTTATAGACTTCAGAGTTCAGTTAATTTTGTTCGTTTCCTGGCATGGATCCACCTGTTGAGTGTAGTCCGCATATTTTCAATAGGGTTGAGGTCAGGGCTTTGGGAAGGTCATTTAGTTAGCCTGCTTTATCCATTAGGATCACTGTCCTGTTGGAACATCCAGTTGTGTCCAAGTTTCAAGCATCTAACTGTTGATTAGAGATTAATTTGATGAGCTCAGAGGTAGTGCTTCTCCTTCATTATTCAATCCACTTTGTGTAATGTACCAGTACCATTTGCAGCAAAACAGCCCCAGAGCATGATGATGTACAGTGTTATTAGGCAAAAAAGCTCAATCTTTGTCTCATTTGACCATAAAACTGTTCTCCAGAAGCTGTTTGACTTGTCCATGTGGGCAACTGCAAATTTAAGTTGAGGTTGAAGTTGCCAGTTTTGCAGCAGGAGCTTCTTTCTTGATCAATACCCTCTCAGACAGCAATACTCACTTTACTGTGGACAGTGATGCTGCTGTTCCAGACGTTTGCAGTTCATGGCAGGCTTGAGCCTTTTCCTTTCATCTGAGGGTGACAGTTTGGGTCTTCTTTAGACCTTCACAAAGGGATGATCCTGGGATCATCCCTTTGTGAAGGTCTAAAGAAGTTAGAAATGCCCCATTAAACGTCTGGAATAGCCTTCAGAAAGCCCCGACATTAAACTTCTTGAAAAGTTATGGACTACTCTTAAAATCCAGATCTTTGAACTCTTGTAGCTCAACACGGCAACAGCAAATAAAGAAATAAATATTACAATACTATTACTAACATTAATAAAAGCTTAAACAGACTAACAGACAAACTGTACAATTTTTATTTCTAATGAATATGTAATAAAATGTTTGTGCTGAACAGTGAAATCTGTCAATAAATGCTCAGAACTTCCAACTTTATTTTTTCATACAAATCCTGTAGTCTGTAAATTTATGAGGACTTGATGTTGATCACTTACTATGTTCAGTTTTTTAAACAGGACTTTTTGAAATGGACTGTTTAACCATTTGATTTGTGAAATTTGCTGATATCAAATGAATTCCGACTTTCTGTCTTGTTGAAAGGGATTTTGGGGAAGTTTTTTCTCCTTCTAAATCAGAGTTTGAGGAAGTCTAATTTACACAATATAAAATCTTTTTAAGAAACTTGTGACTTCCTCAGATTTTGGCTATGAAAAGACGGCTGACTACATGACGTGTACAAGATGAATAAATGACATAACGTACGAGGAAACCCCGCTCTTACTTCACTAAAATTCTCGTCCTTTCATGTATTTTTCAACATCTCCTCGTCTTATCTAAATAAGGTTATTTTATTCTTTCCTGCCTTAATTAATTTGCTTTTCTTCACTTCATGCGCTCGCACATAATCAAACACAAAGAGTAGATCAACAAAAGCACACAGTGAGATTAATGCCACACTTAGTAAGGCCCGGTTGGATGTTGTTGTGCACATTATGATAAGGCTGACCTTTCAGGGCGAAATGAAACAAAGTGGTGCGCCTATTATTTTCTGCTCTTATTCTCATGTTGTGTCACTATCAGTCACCCTCTTGCCCACACTGAATTGCAGAGCATTTCCTCATTCGCAGTAAGCTCAGTGTGGTTGTGCGTGCAGCAGCACACACAGCTACATCGGCCTGGATACTGGTGTTACTACTAGACATGGAACGTTTTGACCACTAATAAACTATCACTGAAGGAAAAGATGGTAAGGCATTCTTATTTATTCTTTTTTTGAATGTACTAATGATGGACTAATTAGGAAGTCCTCCACTGAAGCTTACACAATCCTCTTCAGGCGCTGTGTGTTTAACTCTGACCATTTCCTCCTGACCACCAAGAGGTTTATGAATAACTAGACTTTTGTAGAAGGAACCTCAGCAGGTATTATTGTAACACTACAGGTCTAACCTCAGTTTCTATGTATCCTCCACTTAGAACAAATGTACTTTTATAACTTAACCATCTTTAAAATGTTCAAGTTTTGTAACACAATATCCACAAAACATGACAAGTACAGTTTGGCACAGTTTTTCTAAACAGCGTTTACTGGATCAGTTTCACAGGGGAAAAAAGGGGAAGTTGAAGAGAGGAAAAAAAGAAATGTTCATGGTCAAGCGGATGAAAGCAAGTTTTATTACAAGGCTGTTGCTGGTTAATGATTCACACTAAACTTTATGGCTACCTATTTTCTAATGTATCCGAATGTTAAGCACCCTAAGGCTTTTTGTTAGACAAAAAAAAAAGAGTCATAGTCATAGGTTATGAACTCTTTTAGGAAAGGATTTTATTCTTCCATCACTTTTCTTGTTTCTTTTTTACTCATCAGCAGGGAGTATTAACCCTGGCCACTCTGATTTTACACGTTAGTATAATTCTCGGGCTTCATGGGTGACTGAAAAGCTGAACTGGGGATAAAATAAATCAAGACATTTTACTTGTGAATGGTGTGGCCTTTAAACTGGACGTCATTGCAGACAATTGGTAATTATTTTAAAAAAAAACAAAAAAAACTTGGTTTTACCCTGACCATAAGAATGAAATTTGCAGTAGCATATGTATTTTTAACTGTCTTGTTTGTTACAGTAGAGTTACAGTAGTACTGTTTTCTCATTAGGACCTGAGTGCAGCACACCTGCACAAGCAGTCTGTGGTTTTTAAAATAATCTAGTTAACTGTGTCAGCCTGTGTTTGCTCTGCAGCAGGCGCGCGCTGACTGAAAGTGTGCGAGCATGTGAGTGTTTCTTTTTTTCTTTTTTTTTGTGGTTTGGAGGGAAAGTTTTTTGTCTGCTTCCTTTGTTCCCTGTAACAAAGGCGATGCTGCCGCCCCGAACTGTGAACGGAGCTTGCAGCTTATTGGTGCAGGAGTAACAGCAGCATGCGTTTCTATGGTAACCGGGTGCAGGATGCTAGCTGAGGTATGGAGGTGTGTGGTTGCGAGCACTTCCTGCTCTTCAGCTACTTTTTGACTTTGCACAGCTCACAGCCTGAACGAGTGACACTGAGTGATGGTGTGATTCGTTTATTGTTTTTATTTTGTCAACAGCTGAGATATTCATTCCTCATGTTTCACAGCTTCCGTTTCGATTGTATCTCCCTTACGGTTCTTTTGATGCTGTGAGCATTTTGAAAGGCCGGGTTACTGGGAAATAAGATTTAAATCTCAATGTGACTTGAGGATGATAATAATAATAATGATCTCTAAAATGTTTCGCTCTCTATTTCCGCTTCTACCATCCAGCACTACGCAACCTCTCTTGATTTACTTCATAAGGATTCATTTAAAAACCCCAATGTCTACAAAATATTTTAAATATAAGCTTCACAGAGATGCTAATTATTATCCATTGTTTCATCCATATGAAACATTTTTTAAGAATAACATGACTAAACGTAAAATGCCTAAAATGCATAAAAATCTTGAGGTTATAGGGGGAAAATAATATATTTATTTTAATTTTCTCATCTGTTTACTTGGAAATATTAATTAAATAATTACTATTAGTTTGCAGTTCTGTCCATTTTCATTTTCAGCCATTTGGAAATATTCAAATGCAGTGGATGTCTAGTTAAAACTTCCGGTGTGATAGCAACCAGCTAGCAGCAGTGCGTTGTGGTTCACAGAGCGATCAGACGGGAAATGACCTCTGAAAAGCTGATTAAGCGTTGGGAGATCCGTGCTCAGTCACCAGCAAAGCAAAGCAAAACACCCTGTCGTGCACAGATGAAGCGCATGCCAGTAACTTCTAGAAACTCGTGCACCAGGGTCACAGGTGCAAACCTCTCTGTCATCAAGGTGCTTTCCTGCAAGTCATATGATTGTTTTTGTGAGCTCTGGAAAACGTGCCAGTACCTTCCTCCTCTGTCCCTTGGCTTAAGCCTTTTTGCACCCCTACTTGGCTCATAAACATCTTACACAAAAGGTGAGCAACAACATGTCACATGTTGAAGACTGTCTGCCTTGGTGTGAGTGTTCTGTTCACGTAGAAAGAGACAACAGTAAGTACAACGTATTTATGTAGTATCCCAAAGTGCTTTACAGAGGTATCAATAAAAACGAACTTGTGCAAGGTTAACATGAACACACATGTAATGAATGTTTCAATGGCTCTTCAATGGCATGTGTGGCATAATGGTGCAAAGCATAAAAAAGCGGCTCCACCTTAAACAGTTCTGTAAAAAACGAGTAAATAAATAAATAACTTATTGGACAGTTGTAACCAAGATGAACTTGTACCAGAATGATGAGAAAAGTATGAAGAAAGGGAGAAACAGATCATGATCCAAAGCATTATGTGTCAAACAGAACCATACTCTCTGCTCAGCTTAAGCCAAATGCTGCAGAAGCAATCAGAAAGCACCTCACTGTGAAAATAGATAATGACCCAAACCAAGCAACAAGAGTTTCTTGAGGCCAATTAAAGAATATTCTTCAATGGCCAAGTAAGTCACATGATCTCCACCGAATAGTGCATGCTTTTCTATTATTGAATACAAAACTGAAAGCAGAGAGACCCTCAAACAAGCAGCAGCTAAAGGCAGGTGCAGTAAAGGACTAGTAGAGCAACTCAATGGAAAAAACAGCATTTGGTGAGTTGTTCTTTCATGCAAGCATTCAAAGGAGTATTTTTTTATATATATGTTTAAATTGATGTTAGTTCACTAAAATGTGAAGGCTGTGCATAAAAGTGACTGTCAGTCTCAAACAGCTCATGCTAAATTTGTGATCAGTCATCAGTTCAGTGACATCTTTGTTCTTTGATTTATAATCCACTGCAGTGGTGTACAGAAGCTACAACTACAATAAAATGTGTCTTCGTCCCAAATGTCACGGAGAGCGCCGTCCTCCTAGTTCTCAGTCTGGTCCCTTCCTCACTCGCCATGCTGACTTTTAAAATACAAAGACAAAATGAAAGCCTCGGCTAACAGCTTCAAGATGGGGCATTAATCAGTGAGTGATGTTGCAGTGATCAGGCTATGAGTAATGTACTTTTTAATTTTTCTTTTCTTATTGTTGTCAGAGCGATTAACAACATTAGTTTAACGAATAGTTTACACAGCACACGTTTAACTTGCATAAGTTCCCTCAGATCTGCAGATCTTGAGGT